GGGCACGGGCCTGAGACTTGGGCCTTGGTTCTTGGTTCTTGGTTCTTGGCAATTGGACTTTGGGCTGGACTTGGGCGGCCTTGGGCGGTTGGGCCTTGGGCCCAATCACTATATATCTTTTTGCTGCAAATTTATTTGCAATTTTAAGCCCAACTGGAAAATCCAATTTTAATTTGGACTCGGGTTTTGACCTAACCCGAGTGAGACCTCTCTAGGTACAACGAACCTGGACACCTGACTCTTCATGTGAAGTAACAGCTCAGGTTAATGGTGATAATGGGGTTAATGGTGTTAACTCCTCTTGGTTAATGGTGTTTTAACACCGGAAACGTTTTGAGATTAATGGTGCCATTTATCTCAGCCTTAAGTGGCTGGTGTAACCCTTGGTTCTCCCTCAGAGGTGGAAGTCCTATAAATAGGACATTGAGTTGCAGAGAAGATACACAACATTTCATGCACTCTGATTATTCTCAAAGCCTCACGCATCATATCATACTGCTCTATTCTCGACTTCATTCCAGTTCGTCGGAGCTCGAATCCTGGTGTGCTACAGCGTTCGAGACGTAAGCCGTTGTATCTTTGGGGACGAGACGCCTGTACCCGTCAGCACTATACGGGGCGTTTTCGTCTTGCGGAAAGAGCAATCACCTCGGCAATTTTTTAGCTTCTTTATTGTAATTTCGATTATGTTTTAGTTCATTTTGTAAGAACTGAAATTATCATCTTCAGTTCATAGGTTCCCGTTGTAATTTAATCAAACATTTTGTAACAATCGCAAGACGAAAATTTCGACACCTACTGAACTGATGGCATCCACTGGAGAAGGATCAAAAACTCAACCACCGGTCACCCCCGCTGTTCATCATCCCCAACCTGCTGTTCATGTTCCCACTGCTGAGAAGCCCGAAAAATTCAACAGACTTGATTTCAAGAGGTGGCAACAGAAGATGCACTTCTACCAGACCACATTGGGTTTGGTGAAGTACCTGAAAGACGACCCTCCTGTCGTGGCTGAAAATGAATCAAATGCTGAGCTGCGAGCTGCATACGATGCTTGGGGGCAAGGTGATTACCTTTACCGGAACTATGTCCTCAACGGACTGAGTAACGAGTTGTACAATGTGTATAGCTCGGTTGGCTCTGCCAAGGAGCTTTGGGCTGCCTTGGAGAAGAAATACAAAACGGACGATGCCGGGGCAAAGAAATTCGTCGTCGGCAAATTTCTGGAGTTCAAGATGGTCGACACTAAGACCGTCGTGTCTCAAGTGCAAGAGTTCCAACTCATCTTGCACGATATTCATGCCGAAGGAATGTCTCTGAGCGAGTCATTCCAAGTTGCGGCTGTGATCGAGAAACTGCCGCCGGGTTGGAAAGACTTCAAGAACTACCTCAAGCACAAGAGGAAGGAGATGAGTCTTGAAGATCTGGTTGTTCGTCTTCGGATTAAAGAGGACAATCGGAAGTCTTCGGGGAAGGCCCCGATGATGGAAGCTCGTGCCAACTTGCTGGAGCAAGGCAACTCGAGCAAAAGGAAGCCCCTTAACAAAGGGAAGCAGCAACATGCCAAAGTGTGGAAATTTACCGTCAATTGCCACAACTGTGGAAAGCCGAACCATATGGCTAAGGACTGCAAGAAGCCTAAAAAGGCGGGTCTGAAGAAGGCACAACATGGTGCCCTCATTGCTGAACACGGCCCTGTGCCGAGTAAACTAACCGACATGGATATGTCGGCTTTGGTGTTTGAAGCCAATTTGGTGGATAACCCAAGGGCGTGGTACATTGATACTGGTGCCACTCGCAACGTGTGTTCCGACAAGGGGTTGTTTTCTGACTACACTCCTACAACTGGTCGGAAGCTCCACATGGGCAACTCCTCCTCGTCTGATGTGGCTGGAGTTGGCATCGTGGTGCTGAAGCTGACTTTTGGAAAGGAGTTGAAGCTGAAGGATGTGCTGCATGTCCCAGACATCCACAAGAATTTGGTCTCCGGGTCTCTTCTTGTTGAACATGGTTTTAAGCTAGTGTTTGAAGCTAAGAAGTTTATTCTTAGCAAGTATGGTAGGTTCCTTGGTCGTGGCTATCTCGACAATGGTCTATTTAAAATGAATGTAAGGGCTGTGAGCCGTGTAACTGTTTCTACGTATAATGAAAATCGTACTTCTGTTTATATCGTGGAGTGCTCTGATTTATGGCATATTAGATTAGGACATGTGAATATAAATGTAATTAAACGGTTGATGAACTTAGAATTAATTCCTAATTCTAAAATTGAATCACACAAAAAATGTGAAATTTGTGTTGAAGCCAAAATGGCTAAATTACCTTTTCACTCGGTGGAAAGAAATACTGAACCGTTGGGTTTAATCCATACTGATATATGTGACTTAAAGTTTGTGCAAACAAGAACGGTTAAAAGATATTTTATAACTTTTATTGATGATTGCACAAGGTTTTGCTACTTATATCTTTTAAGAAGCAAAGACGAGGTTGTGAAAGCTTTTAAAAATTTTAAGACCGAAGTTGAAAATAAACTCGGCAAAAAGATTAAAATAATCCGAAGTGATAGGGGTGGCGAGTATGTAGCTCCTTTTGAACAAATATGTTCTGAATATGGCATAATTCATCAAACGACGCCCCCATATTCTCCACAGTCAAACGGTGTTGCTGAATGCAAGAACCGAACTTTAAAAGAGATGATGAATG